TATATATATATATATATATATATATTTACATAAAGCATTGATAATGTTAATGAACACGACATCCCACTATGCCATACATACACATCTTTTAAGTTTAAAGTGTAACATTTGTGCATTCATAATTATTCTTTTATTTTAAAAATATTTTTTTTAATCTATTTTTTCTAATCTCCTCTTATAACAATTTTATTATTTATTAAATACCAAAAATGTTATGCATTTTAATATGATACAGGATTAATTTCCATTATTTATTTTATATTTTATAAATTTTTATGCACTATCTCTACATTAATTTTATTTATCAATTGAATAATATTATAAAAAATAATAATAATAAGTGGTGTACCTATCTAACTTTTATTTATAGGTCCATCCTAATATTTCTCCTGAATGTTATTATAAATGTTTTGTGATATGTTATTGAATAAATGTTAGAGAAAGCATTCCAAATTCCAAAAGAGAATATTGTTAGTATGGTTCTAAATTACTATTAATTAATTAATTAATTAATTAATTAATTAATTTAGAAGTATTCGGTGTGTGCATAAGCGGAGTCCAAGAGGTAAGAGGAGAAACAGAATTGAAAGAGAAGAAGGAGAATCTAATCGAACCAGAAATCAGGAACCAAAATCCTTCGCTTCAGATTCGCCAACTGTGAAATCCAATCGCATTCGGAAGCAATCTCTCAATTGCTTCCGGCGACAACAATGGCCTCCGACAGCGAAATTTCCCCCGCCGTCGCTCGCAAGGCTCCCGGCAAGGAGCAACAAGCCGCCGGCGTCGGAATACTCCTCCAGATCATGATGCTCGTGCTTTCCTTCGTCCTCGGCCACGTTCTCCGCCGGAAGAAGGTTTACATCATCCCCGAAGCAAGTGCTTCGCTCCTCATAGGTTATCTCACCCTCCCTTTCTTCTGCCTCTACCTTCTTTCTCCCGTTTTTCTGACCTAATTTTCGCTCTCCAGGGTTAATTGTTGGTATACTAGCTAACATTTCCGACACCGAAACTAGTATCAGGTTACTTCTGATTGATCTTTCATCCATCAGTAATGCTCACTTTCTATTGTTTGAGGTTGTTTCTGGAGCTTACATTTCGATTGCCGATTTTTCCGCAGGGCGTGGTTCAATTTTCACGAGGAGTTTTTCTTCCTGTTCCTGCTACCTCCGATCATATTATATCCTCATTGAAAATTACTGTTACTATGTTTTCTCTACTTTTTTATTCATCTTTTATGGCTACGGTACACCATCACTTGTTTTTCTTGACTCCTGTGTACTCAGTCTGGGTTCAGTCTCGCACCCGTGAGTTCCTCCACCTCTGTTATTTTTTTTTTTTTACTGTAGGCCTTTTGATCTGGTGTTGACAATCTGATTCATTTGCAGAAACCCTTTTTCTCAAATTTTGGAGCAATTGTCACATTTGCTATATTCGGTACCTTTATAGCTTCAATTGTAACGGGTATCTTGGTGTAAGTTGTTTCTTTTGCCTCCGATTTTTGAATTTCTTATTGTTACACTTGGTACATGTATCTTATTACGGTGCATTAGTTATCAATCTCGGATAGCGGTGCCGGGATTTTAGATAATACGCCATAGTGGAGCTAAGGGCCGTTGTAGCGAAGCGGTTTAGTGTAGCAGCCGTAGTAGACCAAATAGCAGGCTGAGTGACAAGCATAGCAGATGGGATGATGACGCTATGCGTTGATTCTAAAAGTTCGCTCTAAACAAGACATTAGGGCTTTTTCGGGGTTTCCATTTCCAAAAATGAAATATTTAGATGTAATAGTTGTGAAAATAAGAGGAAGACTTGTATTTACAAGTTGATGATGGATGATTCTTATCTACGAACTGGGAAGGTTGTATTTGACTTTTGTTGGTATTTACTTGTATGTTTTGTTTAAGACACCAATGACTTTTTATTGTTAATTATGTATGTCATGAATTTTGACTATTTTTTTATCATTTTTTAGAATATTGGCTATTCACTATCCACCATCCTGCTATATCATTTTTAGGATTGACGCTGTATGCTGCTATCCAGGATTTAAAACACTGAGAGGAGCATAGTGGCCAACTTTGAAAACGCTATAGACAGATGATCGCCATTATAAATGTTATAGTACACAAACTAAATAGTATATACTACACATAAATACTAAAAAAAAAAACCCAAATTTAAAGAAATTCATGCTAAGTAATAAGTCACATTTTACACATACAGTCTTCATCATTCTAGGAGCAATACGAACATAGTAATGAAGTCAAAAAATGAAAGATGATGGTGAAATTAATAGAAAAAGAATATAATAAATTAGATAAAAAATAGCAGAATGTGAACTGGGAAGTCTAATCGAAGAAGAAAGAACAAACACATGAAAAACAAATCTTATAAAATGTGAAGGAACAGAGGTCAAAATAGAGGCAACTTTTTTGTGGAATATTTTGCCCTCCCCCAAAAAACGTTTTCTGTGTGAAAATGGGTTTTTAAAGCCTATATCATGGTAGTGGCACTATAGCGAGAAAAACAGACATGCTATTTTGGTCAATATTGAAAACTGCTCCCTATTTGAATCCCATAGTGGTCGAGAACTGCTCTGCAATTCCACTACACTGCAGCTAATACTGCACTATTGCTATTGGGGTTTTTCAGTTCATTTGTTTGTCCTCTATTTTGCAGCTATCTTGGTGGCTTGCTCTTTCTAATGTATAGGCTACCATTCGTTGAGTGCCTGATGTTTGGTGCTCTTATATCAGCTACTGATCCTGTTACTGTTTTGTCCATATTTCAGGTGATGTACCACTTTATTTTTATAATTCTTTATTTATACCTTTACTTTGTTATTTTTGTAATTCTTCCATTTATACCTTTACTCGGTTAGTCCATACATGTACAAGTTTATGGTCTACAGTGCTCTCAAACCCGATATGCATGTCCAATACAAAGGCAGTGTAATGTCAATAGGCGGGATTGATTAGTATTCTCCTGTGTCTGCTTGTTTGTTGCTCATGTTTCAACATTTTTCATACAAGTTGAAGCTTTGGTTTAGTTAATCATAAGATTGTCAATAATGACATGAGTAAATTATAAATGACAAAAAAAAAATCAGTATAGACTATAGAGCATACATATTTGTTAATTGTATATTTAACAGGAAAAGAACATAAAGCCATAGTTGAGAAAATTTCAAAGCTTTACAATCTCCAATATTCTACATCTTCAACTGAGAAGAATCGAATGAAATGGCTATTTCCTATCCTTGTTTGTCTTTTATTGTTCTTCATGATTGTTCCGAGAATTATATGTATAATAAATATATATAATCTGATTTATTTTGCTTCTAACTTGGAACTTCACCAACCTTATTTGCAGGAGCTGGGCACAGATGTCAATCTATATGCCTTGGTTTTTGGAGAATCTGTTTTGAATGATGCAGTAAGTTTCTGTGCTGGAGAATCTACATACTTTTTTAATGCTTTAGTGCATATATGGTTTAAAGATAGACAGTGCTAATTGGTTGATCTTTTCCTTTAATTTTCTCATGTTCTACTTGTTATTCCTTTTGTCTTAACCTCCCTCTTGCGTAATGGGCAGATGGCAATCTCTTTGTACAGGTACCTGAACTCCTAAAGTTTATGGTTAGCTCAATATCATTAAGGTCCACTTTTAACTTGAGCATGTACTTTGCAGGACAATGTCATTGGTTAAAGCTCATCCATCTGGACAAAATTTACTCATGGTGGTAGTTCGATTTTTGGAGACTTTTGTTGGGTCAATGTCTGCAGGTCAGTCTTTTACATAATGTTCTGTTGGTGTTAAGGGTGATCGATAGCCTCACTAAAGAACTTGTTATATTTTATTAATTTAGCATCATAGATGTTATTTTGTATTGTTATGATTTATGAATTGTTATATTTTGGTATTCCTAAGTTGTGATTATTTTGGTGGTTCTGCAGGTTTTGGAGTTGGATTTATCTCTGCTTTGATATCCTTTTAACTCCATTCTTGACTTATTTGTAGTACTCTAGTACACATCTTTTCAGATTTCAAAATCGATATTTATTGTAGAACCTTGACTGTCCGAACCTATTTAAGTATGCAGGATTGGATATTGACAAGTAAGTATTTCATATTTGTTTTCTTCTGGGAGCTTTTTTTTTAATCTTTTTATTTTATTTACATTATGTTTAGAAAATACTGATTAGAAGAATTTTATGGTTCCATCCAGCCTTCAGAACTTGGAGAGTTGTCTTTTTGTCCTTTTCCCATATTTCTCGTAAGATGTCTTCTTGGACCATTTTTCCATAATTTTTCACAAAATTTTCATAAGTTCTTTCATTCAAGGTGCAAATCAATACCAAACTATTTTCTTTTTCAGGTACATGCTTGCTGAAGGCCTTGGTCTGTCTGGTATTGTATCAATACTGTTCACGGGAATAGTGAGTGCATATCCTTATTCTCTCTCTCTCTCTCTATATATATATATATATATATAATTTTTGTGTTGTTTAATGTTTGTGTCATGACTTCTATATGAGTGTTTGTGTTTTTGTTTTAGGTCATGAAGCATTACACGTATTCCAATTTGTCACAAAGTTCTCAAAGATTTGTCTCTGCTTTTTTTGAGTTGATATCATCTTTAGCTGAAACATTTGTGTAAGGATGATTTTATTTGTTGTATTTACCCTCTTGTATTTAAACATTTCCTCTAAATGATACATGCACGCCTTTTGTCTTATGTTGTACAGATTTATATACATGGGCTTTGATATTGCTATGGAGCAACATAGCTGGTCACACGTTGGATTTATATTCTTCTCCATTGTATCCTTTTTTGGACCATAAATTGAAGTGTTGTGATTTATATTATCATAGTGTTATATGTTCTTCTTGGTACTCTTCCTTAACTCCTATAATAATCACTTAAGATATTCATTGGAATAGCAAGGTATTTATACTGATTTTTATTTTATCATTAAAAGTCTTTGATCACAGTGTCACGTGCTCATTTCTGGCTTTTTGGGTAGTTTGTTAGGGTTTTAGACATTTTAAGCTTTGATTTCATATTTCTCTTGGAGGTTGTCAACAAGATTGTTGGATTACTTCATGCAGGGCAGCAAATGTCTTTTCTTGTGCTTATTTGGTCAATTTGGTCAGACCTGCTCATCGAAAGATACCTCGAAAACATCAGAAGGCACTCTGGTATAGTGGTAAGGAATTAACCAACACATAAATTATGGACTTTTCTGTGGAAAGGTTGATTAGTTCTGTCAATAAAACAAACTACTTCTTGCCTTTGGCGTATTCTACAATGTCATGCTTAAGTTTTGCACTTTGTAAACATGAACAGGACTTCGAGGAGCAATGGCTTTTGCGCTTGCTCTGCAATCAATTCATGATCTTCCAGAAGGACATGGACAGACTATCTTTACCGCTACTACTGCAATAGTTGTTTTGACAGTATGCATGCTCTTGTCCTTTAATTAAGCTAATCGTTATATAAAATAAATGTAGGGGTAATATAAAGTACTTGACTATGTTGTATTTTATGTTAATTGAAAGTATTATTTTCATACTCAAGTTCCAACAAGAGCAAAAACCGAGTGTAGGGAAGGTGAAAAGGCTGAGGGGGATGTGTAAAATAAGATCAGGGACAGATTAATTGAGGAAAAAGTTGGAGTAGCACATATTGACTGAAAGTTCTGTCCTATAAATATAATTTTTCGTATTGTGTTATTGGCATGAAGCCAACTTTTACCCTCACATTTTGTTCAATTGCCATCCTTGAGCAGCAATTTCAACAGGAAACTTTATTTGTTTTAGGTATTGCTGATTGGTGGTTCAACCGGTACCATGCTGGAAGCTCTAGATGTTGTAGGTGGAGACAGTCATAACGATAGCCCTTTGGCTTCAATTGGTACCATCACAGTAAGTTTCACAAATAATGCCGTTCAAGACTTAGTTTTCTGTATTCTACTTCTATGAAGTTTCTCGTGTATTGTATACCTTGAAATTTGCATTTGGAGGCAACATCCTTCATTAATGTTTGGAAGATGAATGACCAAATACAAATATGATCTGTGCTTAAAAATTTCTCTTTCGCAAGCTTGCTTTATATCCAAGATTGCACAATCTTGTTTAAGAGATTTTTATACTTGTCATTTGACCTTATCTTTTAATGTTTGAATTAAATAAATAAATGAGAAACATGCTATATTTTATATTGAAGGGACAAAAACTAATGTTATATTTGCTCACAAATGAGACAATGATTTTGTGGTTGCTTGATTTATTTTATTCTTGTTTTATTCCAAGTGTTGTTTGCATGTTGTTCTCGTTATAGTATAACTTGGATTCATCTGTAGTAGCTTGGTTTTATTATTTAATTGTAACTTCCTTTGCCATGCATATTTCATTTTGGTTTAGTCATTTAGTGATAGTTATGCAAAATGAGGTTCTTTTACTTTCTTAGATAGTAGAAACATGCTGGAAGGAACTTCTGCTTGACTAAGTATAAGATATGGCTGGATCTAGTTTGTAAGTTCGAATAGAAGTAACTTTTGCTTTTGTGGGGAGAACTGTTTTTTGGAATGAATAATTTGGCTATATTTGATGCTGATAGAAGTGGAAGCATGCATTTGAACTTATGATTATGTTCTTGAATTGCAACTAAAATTAATGTTATTCACCATTTGATTGGAGAGAGAGAGAGAGAAGTCTAAGCCTGCGAAGTAGAAGATGACAATCAACCTGGCTAAAATAGAATTTTACAAGCGAAACATGCCCAACCAAGTATTAAGTGTTTGCTATAATTATCCCAAGCTCAATTAATGGCTTCATAAAACATGCTTCAACAACATATGCAAAGCTCTTATTGTGATTTTGAACTTTAAGAATCCATGTTATGAGATTTTGTTATTAAATTATTTGTTAAATTCCAAATTAGACCACTCAATTTTGACTGTGCCAATGATTCTGACAACAAATAATAAAAGCTTTATTGCACTAGGGGAATGATTCCGAGTCTCTGACAGTGGATAATATTTTGATTCTACTTGATATGTTCCTGTCCTTTTTTATATAAACTAATTTTTTTGGTTTCTTTTGCAAGAATTTTGATGACAACAATGGTTATATTGCTCCACCTTACAATGAAGAATCATCTTCAGGGAACAAAATCAAGATGAAGCTAAAAGAATTCCATAAGAGGTATTGTTATGTTCTGAAACTGCAAATATGGTTAAATATATACCTCTCTTAATGATGTTGCCAATCTAATTTCAACTTTGCATATTCATTGCAGTGCTGCATCTTTTTCGGCATTAGATAAAAACTACCTAACCCCATTCTTTACAAGTCAAAATGGAGATGAAGATGATGAAGGTAAGATGATTTTAAGTATTCTTTAAGTATGTAACTATGTATCATTTTCCCCGAAATTGATGAAGTAAATAGGTAGACTAGGAAGCATGGATGTGACACAACATAGGGATATGACAAATTTTTAAAATCACAACAGAATATGGCTATAATATTAATATAAAATAAACTTAAATCAAAATAATTCATGTTTAAAAATTGAGCAAGAATCATTGCAGAATAATAAAATGGTACAATTTTATTTAATTATTGTGAAATTCCAATTTCTATCGGTATGTATGTTTAAAATGTAAACGTTAAATATAATAAAATGCAGCTACAATTATTAAGTGTTTGTGTAATGTTGGATATGGCGATGACACAAGACTATTATTTAGAAGTGAGTATGTACATCTTAGTAAGTTGAGTTTCCCCTTTAAAATGGGCTACATCTTGATCCAGTTTTTGCTAATCCCAAAAAACAATTATTTTATTTGGTATCCAACGCATGCAACAAGGTTATTTAGTCATGCTAAGACATGTGAGCTACCTTATTTTGAAATCAGATGTTTCTTGGAAGAATCTGAAGTGGTGTATTTGGTTATTACCTTGTTTTCAAGCATTAAAGACCGATAGACGCCTCTTCTTAAGGATTTTGAACCTACAGCAGCTTTTGTCCCATAAAATGCGCACATACACAAATAACATATTTGCTCGTCCATTATCGGAATGAATTTTCATAGAATATTTATAGTTACGTTTCTAATAATTATTTTTCATTTATGACCTTGGACGTATTATACTTTTTATAGTTTGAAGGTTTGGACGTACTTCAATTTTACGAATTAGTGTTTTGTTTGTTTTTTAGTGTGGTTGTGAAGTAATTTTGTTTTGACATTATATTACCTCAATTTTTTGTTCTTGATGTTAACAGCCGAGCCTTTTACTTCTACAAGATCGGGATTTCATGGCCATAACCCCTATTCATCATGATTCGTTCCAGAAAACATATTGAATGCTTCTTTTGTACATAAATTCTGTCATGCAATTTATCGATAGAGCGTAGGAATTGCCGCAATACAGGAATCGAAATTACCTCCTTCATTCCATGTTGTACGATTCAGAATCTCATGTCAACTGTCAAGTCTCATTTAGTTTGGACAACATCATCTCGGCAGAAAGAACATTCCATGCAGTTGATGTTTTCCTCGGCCAGGAAGTTGGGGGCTTATAATTTGGATCTCACCACACATGTAATTTTAAGCTGACATTTTTACAGGTTTTGATACTTAGTATAGTTCAGTTGAATTCTGAAAATTCTAGTTCAGTTCATCATTAAGACAGTAATATTATATCTCAAAATGAATACAATCAAGGAAAACTATATCTGAAAACAAATACATTATGTATTGTAGACGAGTCTTTATACAGGTAGTGAATTGAAGATTGGTCAAATAGTATAGTTGGCACGTACGTGCATAACTTGTTCTGGATTTTCTCATTAAACTTTTTCATGGTGTTTTGGTCGGTGGTAATTTAATCTTAAATGCTCTTTAGTTTGTAAAATTAAAATTTAGTTAAAAGTATATTTAAAATGAAGTAATTTATGTTTGAATATTTTTACTGAAGCAAAGTAGCAAACTCAACCAACTTAATTAACGCCTGCTTGATTTTGGAGCATAAAGAGACGGTGGAATTAAGACCAAACGGAGAACTAAACGGGCAAAGGAGAGAAAAGAAAAACACTTCCAGTCTCATACTCATGGTATGTACGGAGATTGATTAAAAAACTAGGTTATTAAAATATAACTTTTTTATTAATTTTTTTTTACTGGTTTATCTTTAACAAATAATACATGTATCGACAGTGTAAAATATTGCAATAGTTTATCATTTAAAAATTAATATATGTACGGATACCTGTGCCATTATTAAAATATATATATATTTTTTCATAATTATTTTTAATTTCTTTAAGGTAATATAAATATTTTTATGGACTATAACAAAAAAAATCTATAATAAGTTTATTAAAAACTCACAATTTTAGAGAAAATAATCATAATTTTGTTGAGAAAAATAAAGTCCACTTTAATGATTTCTATATATTAGTTTTTGGACTATTCGTGTAAACATACCCGTAGCCGTAAGCTATATTAAAAGTCCCTATCCTATTCTTGATCCAAAGTTTAATCTATAATATAACAATATTTAAATGGAATTCATCCACATAATTTTTAAAACGTTTTTATTATTTATTTATTAAGTAGAGAATAATTCAATAATTTTATTTTATTAATTTAAATAAATTTTTTTTTATCATAATCATTTTATAACTTTTTCATCCCTAAATATTAACATAACAACCTTGTAATTTCTCCATTCCAAGATATTAACAAGGAGTGCCTTTATTTTTTTTTTTTTTGGTTTGTCTAAAATAAAATCACCTCGTTGAATAACTACTTTAATAATATATAGCAAAAATGCCCACATTTACACCATATATTATGTTCAAATTCACTGTGATAACTAAGATCATATACATATGGTTTTTACAAATGAACGAAAGGCATGATAGTAAAGAGAAAGGCTCTCCCAAATACAAATTAAAAAGTTGGAGGAGAAAGAAGTGGGATTATTTATTACCCTAACTACATGAGAGAGCGCACGCAGGTGCCAAAACTAAAATAAAAGGCTTTTATCGATATTTGAAATTAGAACCGTTACAACGTAAACTCACACCCCTCCAACGGCTACTTCTTCTTCTTCCATCTTCTTCACCTCTTTCTTCACCCATTCGCTCACACCAAACCCTCCTTTCAATCATGCAAGAACCCAACCCCGCCACCGCCACCGCCACCTCCGCCCCTCCGCCGCCGCCTCCACCCTCCCAACACCGCCGGCCTCGCGTCCGCGAGGTCAGCTCCCGCTTCATGTCCCCCGCCGTGCAGCGCCGCCCACGCTCCGACTCCGATTCCGCCGATGAGAATTCCGAAACCCCCTTCCCAATGGCCTCTTCCTTTTCTCAGAGAAAACAACAACAACAACAACAACATCAACATCAACATCAACATCAACATCAACGTTCGGCGAAGCTTCTCAGAGAGAACAACGGACACGACCACCTTCAACAACCTCATCCTTCGAAATCGTGCTCCGGCAGAATCGGAAACCCTAACGCCGGTGGCACGCCTTGTGTTTCGCGGCCTGGTACTCCCACTCCCTCGGTTTATGTTTCTTCGAGGTATAGACTCACACAACCACACCATAATAATCATCACCATCATAGATTTGTTAATAGCATGGCCTCTGCTGCTGAGAAGTTAATGCAAGCCAGTGGATTGAACCAGGCAAAATCCAGTACTGCTTGCTCCAGTGATGATTCTGGAGTCAATTGCAGTGTTAGGTCACTCCCTGAATTGGGGGATAGGGATAGGGATATGTTGTTGCACTCCAATGTGAGTGACAAAATTGGGAGTGGAAATGGTGGAGAATTGAAGCTTCGCCACCCTTCGCCGTTGTCGCGGTCGGTTAGTTTGCCGTCTCCCGGCGGCGACTTGGCGGCGAAAGGAGGGAGTGAGAACAAACCTCCTTGTTCTGTCTCAAAGCAGCATGGGAGTGGAAATCAGTTGGTTAAGTCAGGGGGGCTTAGTTTGCCTCCTGTTGCTCCTCAGTGTGTGAGGCCTGGAGTGGATGCAAGGAAGGGGAAGAGAGGGTCTAGTCATCAGGAAGATGTGCATTCCCTTAGATTGTTACATAATCGCTATTTGCAATGGAGATTCGCCAATGCCAAAGCACAAGCCGCCATGAAAGCTCAGGAGAAAGAAAGCCTGGTTAGTCATTTTTTTACTCTTCTTGCTTGTCAACAAACTACTGATGTTGTAATTGCACAACTGAAAATCAGAATCATTTGGCTAAGTGGTTATTTCTGGGGTCATAATTCTCTGGATGGATAGAACAAGATGTTAGTACTAGTGGGGAAGGTTTTTTGATAGAACAAGAGGTTATTACACTGCAAGACTAACTTGGAGGAATGCTAAAATGACGTTGATTTTACCTTGAATGATATGGTTGTTAATTTTTTTTGTTTCCCTAGAGTACCTTGGTTTAAAATTGTGGCCGTGAGTTACTTTGTGGTTGTTGTGACTGGATGTTACAATCAAGGTGTGATGTGGTTGTGGTTGGATTGGATGCTTTGGATGCATTTGAAAACCCTGCCCCCTGGACCTTTGGATGGGAATTGGGAACAATATTTGAAAGATAGAGCTAAGTCATAGTGAACAAGAAAGAATACAAATGGAGAAAGCTAAGTCATAGTGAACAAGAAAGAATACAAATGGAGAAATCTCTATTTGTTCCTAGTGTTGAGTGATTCTCTATATGAAGTGATTCATTCAGGGTGCAGTTTTGTAAGCAACATAATTAAGCATTTATTTAATAAGCTCTTGTCAAATTAGATTATATTCATAAGCTACTTCCATAAGTCCAAATAAGCTCTTCTAAATGCTCTCTTATTTACCTTTGAGTGTAAACTGACCATCAACTGGACCATTGGAGTCTTGTTTATTTCAAATTACACTTCCACAGTGTTGATATGGCTCTTTAGATAAGTGTTAACGTGCTTTAACTATTCAGAACTCTTGCACATTTACTTCCACTCAGTTTTTCAGTTGGCTATGATATAACTTATTAGCTTAAAATCTTTGACTATCTTGTACAATTTAATCACCTTCTTTTTTCATGTTGCTCTCTTTTTTCTTCTTAATCCTTGCAGAAAGCACTATATTCTCAATCAATGAAAATATCAGAAATGCGCGATTCTGTTAACACAAAACACATAGAACTGCAGCTTTTGCGGAGATCAAAGACTTTGTCAACAATTCTTGAAGCTCAAGTAAGGCCACCACCAATACTTGTGCATACCTTCATAAATTTGCTTTCAAGTTGTCCAGAGAGCAATGTTTGCTTTTTTGAGATATCAGGAAAAAAAAATTGCTTATTGACTGGTGTTATCAATATTTACCATTTCTCTCTCTATATATATGTGTGTGCATGTGTATTAGAGTGAAATTAAGAGGATACCTGTTAATTCCATAATGATGATACCTAGTTAATTAATTAAGGAGCCTTTCTTAATCCAACTATCCAAGTATGGTTTATCAATTATCAGTTTAAATGTATATGCACAGTAATATCTGTATCAGTAATTTGTATATTTTATTGGGTAATATTACAGATTCCATATCTCGATGAGTGGTCTACCATGATAGAAGAATATTCAGTCTCTATTTCTGAAGTAATTCAGGCTTTAGTGAATGCCTCAGTGCAACTTCCAACTGGTGGGAATGTTAGGGTATGATTATAAATCCACTTCTCAATCATGTTTGATTGTTATCTGGACAAGTGAATGATGTTTATTTTCTTTCTTTTATACTTATTCATTGGAATTATCTGCGTGGTCTAATACACAAAAATATATTATGCCACAGGTTGATGTAAGAGAGCTGGGGGAGGCACTGGATTCAGCATTTAAGATTATGGAAACAATGATTTCCAACATCCGAAGTTTCATGCCAAAGGTGAGACAAATGAAAGAATGAAGCTTCCTCATTGCTTTTTTAACTTGGTTATGTAGCCAGCAGGGTCAAAAAAATGTTTTAAAATTGGACTAGTTTTTAAATCTGTGAATAGATTTCATATTTGAATGTTTATTTATTTAAAAATGTTTTAGAATAATATTTATAAAAAAAAATGACAAAAGTTATTTTTCTACAAGTACTATTCAAATAAAAAAAAAATTCACTGATTTTGGCTATTTTTTATCGTCCACTTTACTATTTTTTCTAAGTGCATGTATCAAATGTGATCCATGTCAAACAGAAGCTACTAATTTTCTCTTGTTCATTGTTGTTTTTCATCTTGACGGCTTGACGCACATATAAAACGTATATTCAGAAATTCAATAAATTGTTTGAACTTTGAACCATTGACCGACTTGTTCTCGATTGAACAGATCAAACTGGCCAGTTTGGTCTGGTTTTAATAACTACAGGTTTCAAAAGATGTGCCTCTCTAAAAATTCAGTTGAAGAAATAAATTTAAGATACCCAGTTAAATTGTACATAATGCGAGTTGCACTAATAATAGAATTTTGTTAAACTCAGGCAGAAGAAACAGATACTTCTATTTCAGAATTAGCCAGAGTTGCTGTAGGGGAAAAAGCTCTTATTGGAGAATGTGGAGATTTATTGTCAAAGACATACAAATTACAGGTTTGTCCTACATAAAATCTTTCTATTCATTGTAGAAATGCAGATTATTTCATACCTTGAAATCTATTTTCAGTTGGAGGAGTGCAGCTCAAGGGGCCATTTAATCCAACTGCATTCGATTTGCCACAAGAATAAGAACGAAGAACAACAAACAAGCTGATAGTTCAAACGAAGAACAACACACATCTAATGTTGATAGTTAATGAGGGAGAATCAACACTACAAGACCTGCGGCTTCATTTCTCTTTCACATTCTTTTACCATTAGTTGAGAAAAGGGGAAGAAAAGATCATTGATTGAGTTGCTGTTCAACTCTCAAGAAGTTCCACAAGAACTGAATTAGCTTGTATTATTATCAGTGTAAGGCTGAGGCGCTTAGCCAAGTCACCATCTGTTCTTACCCCATTTCACTTACTGGATGTCAATAAAAGTAATAGGACACTTTGTCCTTGAATGAATAGAATGTTTGCCTGTATTTTCTTTGAACTTTTGTGCTCGTGTGTATTCCTCTTACAGGTAAAACTATATTCCATCAAGTATGCATAACATGGTGTTGGAAAATTTGTATCAAGAGAGATAGAGAGAGAAATACTGAAAATGATGCATTTTCGTTTATTTTGGTGAAGAGAAAAGAAAGATTAGAGAAAAGCTGATTGAAAGAAACAAAGATTCAAAGTTGTCTCTCCTTTTTTTCTTTTTTTTTTCACTGTTCAATTCAAATTCTTCTTTCTTCTCTCATTTATTTTTCTCCATTCTAACAGAAGAGGGTAAAATTGACCACCAATAATGTGACTCAATTTCTGTATATATGAAGTGAAAATTCTTAAAACAAACTGATTATTTTTATTTACAAAATTTAAAATTAATTTAGTACTTTTATCTCCCAATTAGCCTTATGCTGAAAACTCATAATTTCAGAATATGGATCGAGAGAATTGACATTTTCCAATAGTGGTTTTGCGATTAAGTCATACCTAATTACTTTTGTTATTTATTGTAAACACTTGAATACATATTGAATTTTACAAATTTTCATATTTAACTAAAAACATACAATTAAAAAGAAAAAAAAAACATGCTTACATATTTACTAATCAAAGATTTAACTTTTAGAATTTATCAAAATGTTGCAATTCTTCTCTCAAAACTCAACTGAGCATTTCATTCACATCTTACAAAAAAAAAATGCGATTGTTTATTTTTTTATTATTATGAGAACATGCCGTGATATTTTATTAACTTATTTATATTTCTGTGTATAAATTATATTCATAACATCGCTTTTTTCTCAAGTTTAATTTATTTATATATACTTATTTATTTCTGTATATTATATTAATATTCATATATAAATTTCTAGTTTTTAAAATTTCTAATAAAAGCTAAATTAGTCTTTTAATCTATCAAATTTATTTATTCAATTTGGTCCTCCTATTATTAAAAATTCAATTTAATTTTTTAATTTTCTAAAATAATGTATTGTAGTCTTTTTTGTCTAATAAAGACTAACAATGTTAAATTTTTGTACATATAAAAATAGTGTCATTTTTTTATTATTATGACACATGTATAAGAAGTTAACTTCATTAGTCTTAATTGGATAGAAATGACTACATTGCATTATATTAATAATAAAGAGATTAAATTGAATAAACTAAAAAAACAATGGGTATAAAAAAATAATTTAGCCTCCCAAAATATATTCTTTATAAAATATTAATTAACAAAACATTATCGTACTGTATATGAAGATTCTATATATTTATTTATTTACATAATATTGTACTAGTGACATTAGACATTATATCAATATTCATTTTTAAGTGTAATTTACATATATTCATTAATTTCTAAGTATTATATTAAGATATATTTAAAATTTTCCTTTTCAAAACATTAAATTTTATAAAATATAAATTAGATATAAGAAAAATAAAAAGAATTTAATTATTCTTTTAATCTCTATAATTTCATAATTTTTTTTACCTTTTAATTTTATAGTTAACTTTTTTATTTTATTTTTCTTGATAAACTTTTTTTATACATATATTTTTGTTTCTTTATAGTTTATGTCATCTATTTCTATAGAACTAAAAGATAAAATTATAAAGACTAAAAAAGAAATAAAAATAATATGTACAAAAATTAAAATAAAATATTTTTAGTTATAGAAACTAAAAAATAAGGTTGATAAAATTATAAAGACTAAATATATAATTAAACCTAAAAAAATTAATAGTTAAGCAATATTGGGGAATAAAGTAGGTATAGAAAGGAATAGATCTATACTATAAAGTGAATACATTCACCTTTAACTACTTTTTGATTCTAGTTTATGAAGATTGTTTTATTTTTAAATTACATTGCAAATATATCATTTATCTACCTTTAACCACGTTGTCTTTTTCTTTTTACTTTTTTCTAATATTTCTTTTTACTTTTTTCTAATATTTATTTGCTATATATAACTAAAATTTGTAATAAATTAATATATAAATAAATACTATTTGCAGTTTCAAAGAAACTCGTGCCTTCCATAACTCTCTTTTTCCCTATTCAAAAATCCACAAGTAGTACACCTACAAATCTAACTTTCTTTTACTTTTTTTTTTTTAAAATCCCAACATCATGAAAATATAACTATTTTCTATTCATTTCTCATCCCTCTAAAACTTCTTTTCAACGATTTCTTTCTAAATATTTATATATATAAATATTAAATTTTAATATATTTTTATCCCTTAAATTTAAATTAATTTTATTTTTAATTTTTCAAATTTAAAATCATTTTTCTTAATTTTTATAATTTTAAAAAATATTTTAATATTTTAAGTCACCAATAACATAAGTGATAGATTGAGATAAAAAATATAATAAAATTATAAGATCAGAAAATTGTAAAGACTAAAGTGAAAATGACAAAAATTTGATATATATATATATATTAAAGTTTAAATTTTATAAATTTAACTTAAATAAAAATTTAATCATTTAAAATAAATTTATTTTATCATATGATTATTTTTATTTTAATCTCTTTAATTTTAATTATTTTCAATATTCTAAATACATATACTTACAAATTTATCGGTATTATTTTAGTATATAGTTAACATTTAAATTTAAAAACCTTTTATAAATTTTTTTAAGCAGTAATAAAATTAATGAAATTATAATATTAAAAATAAATTAAATTATTCAAATTAATAATCATATTATATTTAATCTATACTATAAATAAAGAAATTTATTAAACTTAGTGTTAACAATTTTGTTTTTATAACTGCTGTTTTTCTTTTTATTATTTTTCAAAAATTATTCTTACAACTATAATTATCTAAAAATTATTCTTACTCTCTTTTTGTTTTTTTTTGTGTATTATAACATTATAAGTGAAATTGATTTAAGAATAATATTAAATGCATAGTTATCCCAAAACTATAAGGCGACCCTGCGATTCGAGAGAGCAGAGAGGGATCGATTCATTCGGTTTTGTTTTGTTGTTGTAATCTTCTTTCCTTTGAAGGTACTGTGGTGTTAGGGTTTTGAGTTCCTCTGCAATGGCGCTCAAATTTTTGAACAAGAAAGGATGGCACACGGGGAGCCTCAGAAACATCGAGAACGTGTGGAAGGCGGAGCAGAAGCATGACGCCGAGCAGAAGAAGTTGGAAGAGCTTCGCAAGCAGATTCAGGAAGAGCGAGAGCGCAACGACTTTCGCCTTCTTCAGGAGCAAGCTGGCCTCGTTCCGTAACTATTTTCTCCTTTTCCCTATTCTCTAATCTTCAATTAGGGTTTCCTGTTCCTAATCGATTCCTTTTCATCGCAGTCGCCAGGAGAGGTTGGAATTTCTCTACGATTCCGGGTTGTCCGTTGGAAAGTCTTCCAATTCCGAAGGATTCAAGTCCCTTGAGCAGTTCCCCAAATCCGATGCTACGGAACCGCCCTTATCCTCTGCTTCAAAGGTTGTTTTTCATTTTCTTTTTATTATGTCTTAAGCTTTTGTTTCGTGTGAATTGATTTATTTACGATGGTTGATTGAATGCCTGTGCTATATAGGAAGGGGCAAGTGTGCCCGGAGCATTGTTCGAAGACAAGCCTCAATCTGCCAATGATGCTTGGAGGAAGCTCCATTCCGACCCTCTGCTCATGATTCGCCAGCGTGAGCAGGAGGCGCTTGCCAAGATCAAAAACAACCCTGTCAAGATGGCTATGATCAAGAAATCGGTTAGTCATTTCCTTCATTTTTCAATACTTTGCCACCCTTGTATGCAACTCCATGCTCATAGCAGCCGCATAATGTATGTGTCCGTGCAACTTTCACTCGATTGAAAAATAATCATAAAATACCTAAGTGCATACAACTCAGCCCTAGACTATACAATGACTTGTGCAAGAGAGGGATCTATTCATTCTCTTTTTTATCTGATTGAGTGCTACAATGATAGAACTATTGAATATTGATAAACTGTAATAATTAAAAGTCTCTGATGAATGGATCAATGACCATTTTTCTCTTACAAAATGCTTAATTCAAGTCTGGAAACTTGTAAAGCTCATCAACACGTGTATCTAACTACTCAAACTACTTGCAAAGGAAAGAAGACGAGAAGAGAACGCATGGGACCCTCTCACAAGGGTCTCTTGTAGTCTTGGGTCAGGTTGTATGCACCTATTTTTTTCCTATACGTTCCAGCAATTGAAAAACAAAATAGATATTGAAGAGGATACATCATAAAACACCTAAGTGCATACAACTCGACCCAAGTCTACTTGATGACCTACGCATAGAGGGGTCTATTTGTTCACCATCCATTAATTACCACAATCCAACTCCTCTAATCCATTTTCTTTTGTTTTCTAAAATAGATGGATTAGCTTGTATTGTATTTAAGTATGAATGCATGATAGATGGAATGGATTGATAGAATTGTAAATAAATGGATTACTTTGCCACCCTTGTGTGCAACCCTGTGCCCATAGCAGCTACCTAAGGAGTGTTCATGTAATTTTAAAGGCTACTTTTGCTTCTGCCTGATATGGTGCATAATTATGAAATTGAAAATTGTGCTGCATTTTGCATACTCACATGTTGGCTTTTAATTTTATTTTCTCTAGTTCACTGATTGTTTAGTGAATCTTTAAATTGCATTCAAGAATAGGATGACAAAAGTAACTGTTATGTTTTACTTACCAAAATTAAAATTTTTTTTGGGTGTTTCTAATTAATGGCCTGTCCTAATAATGCCTGGTAATGTTGTTAGATTGAAGGAACAGAACGCAAAGAGAAGGCTCACAATAAAAAGGAAAAGCGGAAGAAGCACCGTTCTAGTAAATCCAAGCATAAAGAGCAGTCTGATTCGGAAGATGACACTACTGAAAGGAGAAAATCAAAGCATAAAAAACAGTCTGATTCAGAAGATGACACCACTGAAAGGAGAAAATCAAAGCATAAAAAACAGTCTGATTCGGAAGATGACACCACTGAAAGGAGAAAATCAAAGTATAAAAAACTGTCTGATTCAGAAGATGAAACTACTGACAGGAGAAAAAGAAAGACTGGGAATGTAGACTCTGACAGGAGTCGTCATAATGCTCGATCAGATTCAGGGCATGAATCAAGTGATGGAGAAAAGAGAAGAAGGAAGAATAACTATGAAGACAAAAGATACAGGGAAAGATCACCCAGTCACCAATGGAGACAAAGAAATGGCAAAGACTATAAAGAAGATGCTGGTGACAGATATTATAACATGTCTAGGTCAGAAAAATATGCTTCAGAGGGCCAGTCCAAAGTAGATGCCCCTAAAAGTGGGGACAGGAGATTTTCTGAAGCAAGTTCTAATAGATATTCTGCCTCTTCACATGAACGTGGATCACACTATAAGCGCAGAAATGTGGCACCTAAACTTACAGATGAAGAGCGGGCTGCTAAACTTAGGCATATGCAATTGGCTGCCGAGTTGCATGAAGAACAGAGATGGAAACGCATAAAGAAGGCTGAGGAGTCTGATGCACAGGAAGCAATCGAAAATAATAAAGCTGGTGGCAAGAATTTCTTGGATACTGCTCAGAAAAGTGTATATGGCGCTGCTGAAGGAGGGAGCACATCAATAGCTGAGAGTGTTCGTCGTCGGACACATTATTCTCAAGGCAGGTCTGGTGGGGAAGGCAATGCATTTCGGCGATGAATGCTGCCTGGTTTTATCACCAAATTTACTTATAAGTTTAATAACTCTTGTTTCTAAAGTTTCACCAATTGTATCACTAAATCCTTATATTTAAAAGTATTTCATTTTAGTTTTTATACATTCCGTTTTTATTTTTCCCAAGCCCCTATAATTTAGTTATCTTTATTCCTATAAAATTATGACAAGGAAAAGAAAAATGGTATGTATAAGATTAAAATGGAATATTTTTAATTATAGAACCTAGAAGGCAAAGTTGATTAATCTATAAAGAGTAATTAAACATCTCAGTCATCTCCGGCCTTCTGTCGCTGTGTTTTCTTCGGTGGACCTTTCCTTCGGTGTATCCATATTCGAAAACCTGTTTAATATTCAATTAATGTATTATTTCATAATGTTTAATATTCAATTAGATAATGTTTAATATTCGAAAACATGATTCGAAATTTCTTGTGTTCTCTCTGATTTCAAGGTATTTATGTATTATGAGACGGTATTGTAAGTTTTATTTAGTGTGTTTTGGTGTCCTTTTGTCAAGAGCGAACGAATTATATGTTGGTTTAGGATTTGGGTAATGCATGTATGATGTGATTAAAAAATATATATCTGGCCCATATAATTCTAAAATGATATATTTAATCTTTGATTTCGAGATAAAATTGACTATTGGACACTGATGATAAGAATATTGTTTTTTTAACGTTAAGAATGGATTTGGTTGGAGAATATAAATGAAGTATTTTTTTTTATAGAATTTTAAATATCTTAGAATGAAATATTTTATTTGGATGAAAAATTTATAAAAAAATTAAAATTTGAGTATTTATGAAAGTTTTTAAAATAATAGAATTTTAAACTCTTCAAAAAATAAGAATATGAAATTTTTAAAAATTTTTCCTTCTTATTTCTTAATTATTGAATATTTAAAATATTTTTAAATTATTAAATATTATTTAATATTAATTTTTAAAATTAATAAATATTTAAAATTGACTAATATTTATTTTTATAAAATTTAATCTTAAAATTTATATATATATATAATCAATTTTATCGAAAATCAAATTATTATATTAAAAAAAATTAAAGTTTAAAAAATTTAAATTAACTTATTTAGACAAAATATTTAAAAAACGATAGAATTGAAATTAAAATAATTTAAATTTCTAAAATTTCAAAATTTTTAAATTTCTAAAATTTCTAATTAAAAACTGTCTGCCAGTATGCTTGAGGTCTTTCAAAAGTGGAACAGGTATTAAAAATTTGTTTGATTGATTCAATATCGATAATCTAGAAAATAGAGTTGATACTTAGAACGGACGTATAACAAGAATTCTTAGCATTCCTCGGGTATTCTTGGTTGGTGCTGAGATTATATTTTACTCGTAATTAATTCGTATACTATAATATGAAGGCGAATAACTAGGAATTGGGCTGAGAAGAACTTCATATGCTAAACAGGCGAGTACATCTACCTAGCTGTTCCTGCAGATGTTACTCTGTTAAATAACCCAAATGAGAATTTAAGTTAGAAAAAAAAAAAAAAAAAAAAAAAAAAAAAAACAACAGTTGAAGAAGAAGACACATGTTGGAAGGTGTTATTATCTTATTATCGGTTCATTTCCCCTCTTAAAAACGTCAGTTGTCAACCCAAGTTAACTTTGACAAGTGTTCTCCTTAGTAAAAACGAAAAATTGCTTACCCTTTTATATAATAAATGCTATTTATTTTTCTCTTAAATCAGAGAAGAAAGTCCAATTATAGCACCGTCAGCAAGTAGCAAAACCGAAGTTTTTAACCCAAAAAAGAAAAACCTCACCTGAATCCTGATGGTCATAAAGCATATATGTAGCTAAAAAACGAGGTTGTAGGTTTACAATCAAGGGAAGTAGTTTGTTCTTAATCTAGCCACTAGTCACTATAACTATGCAACGCTTTCTCATTGATTAATAGTTATGTAGCTCATCTCATCTTACAGTTGCATTTCTCTTTCTTCACTTATTGTAAAGTCATGAAAGCCAAATCATGATGTCCACTCCTACCAATTCTACCTCTCATTTACGGATAATTATAACTACACTTATTAAATGAACTTCTGCCGACACACTTCGGTAATTATTAGCTGATATTTCTGCAGTGTATAGGCCATTTGCATGGTATCATCTCATGCCAACAAGTGTATATTATGATATGGTAATAATATAGCAGAACAAGTCGGTAACAGTTTATGGCCTCTTCATATGTTACCTTATTCATTCATTGATTCAGGTAGAAATTTATCTGCGGCAAGCATGGTTATTGTTACTTTTCTCTTCACTTTTTGCTTGTTTGGATTATGTGATTAATGATGTCATTATTATTGAAAAAGGATATATATGTACGACATGTAGTGTTAGGTACTCAGTATTTAAGATATTGTAACAACTTTAGTCTATCACCGATAATAATATTAATACGAAACGGTCACAGTGGACCACGGAGCTAGTTACTCCATCACGTTTCACTAACTGTGAGCTCATGTACATTTAAAGCATTCACTGTAATGCAGATAATGAAGGAAAATTATTGGAACTTTGGCCTTATACTACAAATTACTTATTATGATATCTTTTCATTTGTCTTATTGGTAGGGAAAAAGAGCTTGATGTGAGTTATGATGTAAGTTGATCATTAATGACTTGAAGTGTTTTGTTGATAACGATGTCTATGGACTTAATGTGTGATATTGATAGGGAAAGGTGTCGGTTTGGCTACTAGTAGAGCTCTAGTGTATACCATATATCTACTCAGGGAAGAGTGAGAAGCTGTTCCAAAACCAACCAAGTGGGGTGAACATGATGAGCCTCTTTTGGTTTCTAGTTTTCTTTGCACATCTTGCAATAGCATCCTGTATTGTGGAATTTCAAGGCATGTATTTCAAGGGCCTGCTAATTAGTAATTACAAATAGTTCTAACTTGAAGGAAGCAATAGCTTCCTCTTGAGATTATATTGTATGATGCTGCCGGAACCAAAATATACTATTTACTTTCCTTTCTTATATCACAGCCTTTTGTCTTATTTTGTTTTTTAATTTACTAGAATATTACCTGATATCTGATTAAAGAAAGCAATCTTCTTGAGTTTCATTTTCAAATTTAGAAGAAATTCTGGATTTGTTGAAGTAATTTTGTATGTTATTAACAAATAGTACAATTTGCAGATAATGATCCAAGGCACAAGCAAGAGGGCATGCAGCTGAATTTGTACCATGTTAAAGGTCTTGACTCCTCTCTGACTTCCACATCACCATTTTCATTCTCTGACACTATCACCAAAGATGAGGAGCGTGTCAAGTCTCTTCATTCCAGATTAGCAAACAAGGAAGGTGTCAGCAACTCTGGCACCACTGTCTCTTCTGATAAATTGGGGGGACCAAACCTTGTGAACACACCCTTGAAATCAGGTTTGTCAATTGGTTCAGGCAATTACTATGTGAAAATAGGACTTGGGACCCCTGTCAAGTATTTTAGCATGATTGTAGACACTGGTAGCTCCCTCTCCTGGCTCCAGTGCAAGCCTTGTGTCATTTACTGCCACGCGCAGGTTGACCCTATATTCGCTCCTTCCTCATCCAAGACCTACAAAACCTTGCCATGTTCATCCCCTCAGTGTTCCTCCCTCAGGGCCTCCACACTAAATGCTCCAAGTTGCTCAAATGCAACTGGTGCTTGTGTCTACAAAGCAAGCTACGGTGACACTTCTTTCTCAATTGGTTTCTTGAGTCAAGATGTGCTAACCTTGACTCCATCAGTGGCACCATCAAGTTTTCTGTATGGTTGTGGTCAGGACAATCAAGGGTTGTTTGGAAGGGCAGCAGGTATTTTAGGTCTAGCCAATGACAAGCTCTCCATGTTTGCACAATTATCCAACAAATATGGCAATGCCTTCTCCTATTGCCTCCCCACATCTTTCTCTGCAATCAACTCTTCCCTATCAGGTTTCTTGTCCATTGGAGGCTCATCGTTGACATCATCACCATCACCATACAAGTTCACTCCCTTGTTGAAGAATCCAAAGATTCCAAGCTTATACTTTGTTGGTTTGACAACCATCACTGTGGCAGGAAAGCCTCTTGGAGTGGCTGCATCAAGTTACAATGTGCCAACCATAATAGACTCTGGCACAGTAATCACAAGGCTACCTGAACCCGTCTATAATGCACTGAAAAAGTCTTTTGTAGTGATCATGTCCAAAAAGTATGCACAGGCCCCAGGATTCTCCATATTGGATACCTGCTTCAAGGGAAGTGTTAAGGGAATGTCAACAGTGCCTGAGATTGAGATGGTGTTTCGTGGGGGTGCTGGCCTAGCACTCAAGGCTCATAACACCCTTATTGAAATTGAGAAGGGTGTTACTTGTTTGGCCATTGCTGCTAGCTCTAGCTCCATTTCCATTATTGGGAATTATCAACAACAGACATTCAAGGTGGCTTATGATGTTGCCAATTCTAGGATTGGATTTGCAGCTGGTGGATGTCAGTGATCAGTTGTTCTTGTTTCCTGGCGAAATCAGTTGCAACTCGCAAAGGTAGTGACTAGTGCATGATACATTTTATCAAATATGTTGTTTGCAAATATATGTTTCAATACTGACAGCCTTAAGAGACATGTGCTGTATCCTGTATGTATCTTAGTGAGCAAATAAGGGGAATGACAATTAAATGCTCACATGAAACTTGCAATTGTATTAGATTGAGAGTGGAGATTTTTATTTTGAATGTTAATAATATACTCGCATAGCATTGTATAGTGCATGTAAAGGTACGCTTTATTAGGTAATAGGCATGGCAAGGGGCATGTAAAGGTACCCGCGGTTCAAATCCGTTCCCAATATTTGATGAATATGTGATTTTTGTCTCATTTTCATTCTGGTTGGGTATCGAGTATAACTATATTTATAAAAAATTAAGAGTTAATCATCATCTATATATTATTAGTATAAAGTTTTTTTACACTAATAATCAATCATATATTTTAATAGTGTTATATTAATTGCTTATTTAATAAAATAAAAATAAAATAAAATAATTTAAAAAAATGATTGATTGTCGGTGTAAAAAACACACTGACAGTATATAAGTGATTAATTCAAAAATTAATTAATTTTTTTGCAAAAAAAACTATTTTTAGCTTATCTTTGTGTTATATTACAATGGTAATTGAGTTGTTTGTTTATCTCATATTTTAATTAAGAGACTTTTAGAGTCACTAATTCTTAAAAATTAAAATTTTTTAAAATAATCAAATCAAGGACGGATATTAAACTGAGGATGAGGATAGGGATGAGGATGGAGACGGGTAAATATGTACACATCCTTGGTTTAATATTTCGGGTTTTATCCGTATTCGTATCCGAATCTATACCCGGTCAAACTAGGTATTTCCCATCAAAGTCGGGATGGTTTTGGGCATAGTTTTAAAAACCGGACCGGTCGGTTAGGGTACTGGGTCACTAATTGAACCACATGATTCAGTTTTTATTAATTTTTTAAAAAAAATTCATGTAAAATATATTTATCTTTATAAATTTTAATAAATTCATATTTTATTTTAAATTTTAGTTTTTATCTTATTTAAAATTATCTTTATTTTTATTTTGTATAAAGAAATACATAAAAAATTACATGTTAAACTGTATATTAATACAAATTAAAAATATAAATAATATGTATATATATAATATGCTTACAATTGATATTACAAAATAATATATGTAATATCTACATTGATATTATATTATTAAATATATAATTTAGAATTAATATATATTATAAAAGTTATTTAAGTTGTATATATTATAGACAAATATATTAGAATAAGTAGTTATTCTTATGCTTAATAAGACTCTTTGCTTTTTCATTAACAAATTCAATTCTCATTGTTATTTTTGTGGTTTGTGGTCCTTTAAAAAAATAAAAAAATTTATGGTTGAACCGGTTTGACTCACCAGTTCACTAGTCGAACCGGAAAATTGACCGGTTCAATCCGGTTTGAAATGAGTCAAATACATAACCGATCCAACTTAAGATTTGGACCGGCTAGACCACCGGTTCCCGGTTCAACCTGTCCAACCAGCCAGTCCAATCCAGGTTTTTAAACACTGGTTTTGAGTATTACCCATAGCTATGAGTTTATTTGTCATCCCTATTAAGTAACACCATTGTTCCATAATTCCATTGTTTTTGTCATTGTTATGTCAATCCTTAATTAATTTTAACCTGATATAAAAAAAATTGTAATTTATTAGTTTTATACTGTAGTGTTGAAATTAATTGACATATTTATGACATGGTGTTGTCTACTTTGGGTTAAAACGAATAGGTAAGCTTATTTTGTCACTTCTAATATTTTATATAATAAAAATAATTTATTTTTTTATTAGTTTTTATTAGAGTTATGTTATTGATATTTGTCCGGAGAATATTTATATCTAGAGGAGAGGATTATAACTTTATTATTTTTATTAGGTTATTTTACACACAACTTTATAGTTGAGAGATATTATTCGCTTTAGATCTAAGCTTTCATGATTTTACTTTTTGTTTATCAACTAAAAGGTCTTTCAACAATTAAAATATATGTGTGTTTTTAAAAATTATTATTTCTTTTCTTATTTTATTGATATGAAACCTTATTTATATCATGATAGTTTGACGCTTTAAAGTGTATTTTATTTCAATTTTAAAATTATTTTTATGTTTATTTTATAATAATAATAATAATTAATTATTATCATTTATGAATTAATGTATATAATAATGAGTTTACATAATTAATGTATATAATATTATCGAGAATTATTAAATAATGTTATCTTTTATACCGAATTTTTGATAATGAATTGATTAATTCACATACATCATGTGTGAATGTGTTAAAATCATATATTGCAACATCATGTAATATAAGATTTATGCATTATTCAACACTCAATAATGTGATAATGAAAATATTATTTTGATGAAATTGGTGAATTAAATATAATTTGAAACATCAAATAAGAAAATTATATATATTTTATTGATTAATAATTAATACTATCATAAGTATATATTTTGTTATAAAAATTTGATAAATTAAATATAAAGTTATAATTCATTTTTTTACGAGTAAGTTATAATTCATTTGAATATAAGATAAAAAAAATGTATAATTACTTTCATTCATATATTGAGATTTTTCTTTTAAGTAACGTTGGTACGTTGATATTCATTATTTTTATCAAAATGTTGTGGTTTTTTCTTAACGTGACTCTTGATATTTTAAAATATGTTAGTAAAATATAATATAAACTATATTGTATAATAAATGAAAAAAACTAATCTCTCCATCTATCATAAGCATATCAATGTTGTTGATTTGTTTATGATATTTGTGTCCCGATCACGTTCATAGATGAATTGTGTGAACTTTTAGCTTTCATTGAATCCTTCTATGGATAATGTCAGATATTAAAGACATTTTTTTTAACCATTTTGAAAGTAATAAAAAGCAAACATATAATATTAAACTAAAATATTTTTTTAACCGCTCTAAAATATTTTATCGGATAAAACAGAAATTTTATATAAGTTTGGACAAAAAAAAATATATGTTATATAATAGATATCTATCTATATATTTATCTATATATATATTGAGGAAGGTTCAAACGATACCGGTATAACACTTAGTTAAAGTTACACGGTGTCGTTTGAACCCTCCTCTATATATATATATATATTACATTTAAATAAAAGACTTTGTGATTTTACTTTTTTGAAATAACTCTATTTATTATTTTATGGTTATTAATTTATCCATTCCAATTTGATGTTGCTTATCGATGTTTATCTATTCATTACACTGTTTATAGGAAAAGTTTAATAAAAACAAAATATAAAGTATAAAAAAATTAAAGTTGATGTTAATGTTAGTTTTTAAATAAATTTCTAAACACTTTATACATTTTAATTAATGATAATTTTGTCACATATAATTTTATATTGAATTTGCATTTAAATATTTTATAATATTCACATTATTTATTTATATTGAGCAATTCAAATTAAATATGAAAATATTGTAAAAATAATTAAAGTGACATTACATTCCTTAAAAAAGTGATATTATTAAAATTCATAAATAATTTATTACCTAATATTATTTTTAAAAGAAGAAATTATTGCATGTAAAATACATTAAAAAAAATAATTATTACATGAAAAATTGATGAAAAAATTATTTATTTTATTATAAGTAAGATAAATCTAATGTAAGGTTTTAAAAAATTATCTTTTTTTTTTTTTTATATAGACAGAAATAACATTGGTTTCTAAACAAATGTAAAATGAGATTTCAATCGATGTGGAAAAATCTCCGAGACAGTGTTCTCTTATATTAATTAACTTCATTACATTAAAGATAATGTGATTAATGAATTCACATTTAAATTTCTGGTTCATGTAACCCAATGGTGTCATATGCTTTAGAGTTGAGAAGAACCAAAATAATATCAATATATTACATATTTAAAGGGATTAAAACTGAACAATATTTGTCCACAAACTTCACTATTAGCTCTTCCCAAGTTAAGACAGTAAACAGTTCCATATGGTAGAGATTTAAGCCACTGTTTAGCTTTCTCCCTAAAATATCTCAATTTGATATATTCTTGCATGTGCACAATCCCACAAAATTGTACAAATGTCTTGAGTTTTATCTAATATGTGCTTAAATTTCATAAAATAACAGAAAAATTAGATAATCCAAGATACCATGATCATGAGATTCACCTAAAGATTTGTATCCAAACAAGTTTTATATTTTCTGAAATGTCTTGTTCTGACTTTAACCAAATTATGGATACACCTATGATAGCCCAAAATTTCGACAGGTTTATGTGCCATTTGAACTTATATTTTTGTTCAGACAAACTAGATATTTAATTTCTTGTATTGACAGTGTCCAACTTCAATACAAACATGATTGTACGGAAATCATGTAGGTACATTTGAATTGTCTCTGTGCCCAAGTTAGGTATGGAAATATTCTTTAAACACAAGAACATTGAAAAATCACATCACTACAAGTCATGTGATGTGCCAACTTTATGCATTGCATGGAAATATTTTCAACCATCTATTGTTGCTAAGAAGTCTCTCTCGAGACTCAAAGTAAAAAAAATATTTAATCATTGTTCTTGAATAAGATTTACCTCAATACGTGTTAAAATGTTTGAATTTCCTTTAAATCTATGTAGGGAATAAATTCGTTAAAGATTATGTAATAGAATATGTGCATGTTTATTTTACCATTTGAAAAAGCTAAATGTACGTTCAACTTAATTTACTCACACTCATGCTTTTTCATTTGAATACATGAAAATATGCATGTTTGTACAATAGGAGGACGTAATGTTAAAGAATCTGTTCAACTTTTCCTCTTATATATAACCTGGGCCCATCTACGAGTGAGGAGTTCCTATGAAAATTCCCCTGAAACTATAATGTTTGCAACGTTAACCAGAAACTAACGTGGTGGGGATCAACCAAAAAATCAGTGACGTAGTTGCAAAAAGTCTATATAATTATTGTATGTATATGTGTGTTTTTCCTTTTCTATTCTTCTTAATGTGACTTGTTATGTGAACAGAGATGAGAGATGTTTTTTCAAGTTTAACTTTTATGTCTACACACAACTTATAACTTTGATCAATTCCACCATTCTATTTGATTCATCGCAATGCATCAAAAGAAATATGGTAATGATAGTTTACAAAATTATACATTTTTTGCATAATGGAAGAAAGAGAGTAATTTAAATGCAAAGAATAAGTATTTGTTTGTTCTTATGATTCTGTAAATCTCAAAACATATATATGTAAAGAATCACATCTTGTAACTTTTGGGAAAAAGACACATATTTAATAAAATAAAATACATTTTTGTAAAATAATATATCCTTTCATACTTATATCTTTTCATAAAAGAACATATACTTTCATGAAGAAAAAAAAAAGAAACAATTTTTCATAGTCATTCCATTTTATTAATAGATGCGTATTTTCGTAAAAGGATATAACTTTTCGTTTGAAAATCTCACAAACTGGTGAAGTCTCAACTACATACACAATCTTATCACACAAGGGAATAGACTTTTTTCAAGATATTTTTTTTGTGAAATTTTTTTCAAGATCTTAACCTGTCATCTCTAAGTCACAAGCCACCAACCTTATTGTTGCATAAAAGCATGCTCATTCCTCAATGCATTCAACCGAAAGATGGAGATATTCTAATTACAAAAGCCTTTTTATTGTTTTTATGTCATTGAAATAGCTTTTTTTATATGAGATAACAATTAATTCGATGGACTGGCCTAGTGATTAAATACCTTGCTCTCACATATTACATAGACAGTCTATTTAGTGGATAATTTATATTTGATCCCCATTATGTGCAAAAACTCATCAAGTTTCTTACTAGTGGGCTCGCAGATACCGTGGTAGGAAAAAAATGATGTAATAACCGTAGCATAACATCCAAACACAAGTCAATTTAACTAGTAATTATAATCACATATGAACATGAATTAGTTTACTTGGGCCTTCAGGGTCTCTGAGGGACCCATACTTTGCTGTCCAATTCATTTTTCTCCATTGATGTAACATGCATTTGATAGGGTTGCAATAGGACACATTTCATTGGCCATTCTTCGTGGCAGTGTACAAAGACTATGGTACCATTATTTAATATAAGTTTAGGTGCAAAATTCAAACTTATAATTTTAAATTAATAGTGGGGTAGATCAATATTTGATTGTCAAATGATATGTCTCTTGCAGTTGCAGCCTCCTTATGCTGACCCTCTCGAAAGTCCAAAACTTGAATAAAATGCAATGAGGAAGCACAATCAGAGCCAGAACTGAAGATGAGCAAGTGATACATCCAAATCCAGTGTAAACCAAGTAAGTTGATATATGTGACACATGAGCACATTCTTTGTATCTTTGTTATGATCATGGTCAGTGATGTTGCCAGAAAAGCTGTGCATATTGTTAATCTATGCTTGGCCTTTTTATATGGAGCAAGTCATTTTTTGCGCAAAACCCGGATTGAAAATGCAGCCAACATTGAGCATTGTGCAATGAGCATAACTTTATGCATACATGGCAAGACATGAGTAGATAGTATCATAGCACTTTGTAGACCTTAAATAAAGAATGATCATTAATGATTCTCCACCTTGGTCTATGTCATTGCAAATTCACAAACAATTCTCAGATCTCAAATTAACAATTTGAAATCTGGCTCCACTTGTTCAGTCTAAATAAACATTACCTGCCCCCACTACTGTAGAGCATAATTCCAACTTCCAACATTATGTTACAGTGAATGATCAAAAAGTCAGTTTTTAAATTTTAGGCTTCAGGGTCTGTCCATTATAAACCTAGTCAATTGAGATGATAAAATATCAGGTAATAAAGATGTGTCCAAGTGTATCGCTGGACTTTGCTTTTCATAGCTGAAAAGTGAAAAGTCTTGATGCCTAAAAGTGCCATGCTGGATTTCAATTTCTTCTTAAAAGTTTCTCTTTTCAGGTTCATACCATTGCGTGTATTATCAAAGGCCAAAGCCTAAAAGGATTCTGCTTTACTGTATCCATAGATTAAACACTTCTGTGACCCCATTCTGTATATTTTGTAGGTGCAGCCTTGAGGTTGGGCACCAACTATTGGTAAGGATTTCATATGTAATCCTCTAAACTCTAGAGTTTGCTTATTTTCTTCTTACATTCTTTGTCTAAATATATGCCATTGAAACAAGTCATGTGTCATGTTCCCTAGGAATTTGTTTCCATTTGCTGAATCTCCATTTTTTATGTCAGATAAGTGATTAGTGTCACTCTTGTCGCTTCTATCTTTTCTCATCCTTGTCAGGTGTGCCATATCTACACACCATGGGGTGCATGTCTTCAAAAGTCATAACCAGATCAATTAGTTTCCATGAAGAGAGAAAGAGGAGATCAAAGAGAACAAGTAATGGCATTCCATTGTTGGAAGATCTAATCATCTCAACCGGTGGCAGTGACCAGTACCTTGCTCTTGTCTGTGCAGCCAACACAGTATCCAACAAACTACACTCCGGTAGTTTAAGTTCTAATACATCCTCAAAACTAGCTATTGAGCCTGCCAATTCTCAAACTACTGAGAAGTTGAAACCATCAGCAAGACTAGTTCAAGGAGAAGGGAAACAAATTGAGAGTGATAAAAAGAACAGGTCCAAAAGTTGGCACCAGTTTCCACAGCATATTGTGCACTCTCTTGATCAAGAGAATTCATCGGGTTTTGAAGATAGACATGACTCAAAGTCTAAGGGTGCTGCGCGTTGTAGGAGTTTTCACACAGTTGAGGAATATGATGATATGGTTGATAAAATATGGTTAACAACGGAACAAGATGTTGGTTCAGGAACTAACATGAACCTTCAGGATAAGGAATCTGCCATCAAGAAGATGCAATCATCATGCTTAAACAAAAACTATTCATTGGAAGAAAGAAAAATAGTGAAGGAGACCAACAACTTGAGTGCATCATCAGAAAGCAGCACAATAGCTCCAATTCCAAGTCCTAAAAGCCACATATCAAGTCCAGGTATTAAAAATGACGAAGTGGTTCAGAGTCACAAAACAAGCACCACTGAGAAGGGAATTAAGAGAAAAGCTGTGGCAAAGAGACTAGAATCACTTAGGATACCATCCGCTGTTGAATATCCAGCCATTGCTAGTCTTAGAGAATGGCTCCCTGCAGGTGGAATATACTCTCCGGGATCCTATGTCACCCCAAAATTTGGCAGTTATTCTATAATGGACATTGAGAATGCAAGTGAATCCGGCGAGGATTCTATATTTAGTCCAGAGTTGGTGTCTGCTTTTGAACAATGTATGCAAAAGCTTGAGACAGAGGAAGAGAACATTCTGAAACAAATTGTAGAGAATGTGGAAGAAGAAAGTGAAGGAACCAGCCCCGAGAAAGAGCACCATGCATAAAGGTTAAACACATACTTAAGGTGAATTTTATTTATAATGGATAAATCATAGATAAATTTGTCATTTATACTCCACTACTATATTTTTCACATCTTCAATGCATGTGAATTTTTCTGATCACAATTTTTTTATTCGAATGTATTTTGGGAAGAGGTGCCAATTTAAATAGCAGTGAATGTAAATGTACGTTCATTTCACATATGCTTGCATTCAATGCCTTGACCAACTTTGTATATCAGACGTAGTTATAAAAATTGGAGAAAGCAATTTCATTGGAAAAGAAGTAACATGGAGCTTTTGATTCCTAGAGAACTTCAGGAACATGTAGCCAAGTTTAATTTAATCCTGATATTTCTGGGAAAATACAAGTGGATTTTATGTCTTTCTCACCTCATTCAATATGAAACAACCACATTTTCACGATACTGTTTCAACATTTTTCATCTTGGTGTCCTACAGGTATTTTGTCATAAAAACTGAACTCGTTAACAGGAATCAACAATAAATAGATTGATGAATTTCTTAACTAGGCATGAGAACTTATTGACCTTGGATCCACTAGCAAATAATTAGTCTAAATTAGTTAAGTATTATTGGAACCCTTTTCAACATATTATTTTACCATAACAGTTATTAGTGCCATCCAGAGAATCCTTGAAGCAGCACTCAGGTTGCGGTTCTTGTCCAACTACAACGAAACACAAGACTATGGTTCCAGTCACGGGTTGCGATTGAATCAAAGTTTAACTTTTGACTTTTGAGCTTGATTTTAAGTAATATTTATATAAACAAGTTTGATTTGACGCTCAAATCATGAAGAAATAATAAGTCAATTTCATAATTTGTACTTTTTCTACAACTGAATGTCTGAATACAACCAATTTCTAGTTTTTTTTTCTTAAATATGTTGGAAATCCTCCCAAATATAACCATATCTGTTTTTAATTCCTATATCTTTTTTGTTTCTGAAAACACTTATCACTTATATGACTGCATCAGACATTGTCACATCACGATGCCACATTGCAAAAATACATCTGGCAACGACAGATGGAGCCATGTAAACATTTTTGTTACGAAATGATACAAAAAAAATAAATTAAAACATTTGAAATTGAATATTACAGTATCATAAAAACATACAGGAATTAAAAATAGAAATCGTTATATTTGCATAGACTAAATCATCGACACCTACTTTTCTTTTTCTGCCCATATCTCTGCCACTATATATCGATGTTTCTTTTCTTTTTGGTAAATATATATAGATGTTTCTAAAATAAATCAGAATGGGTCGTTTTATATAATTTTTCTCTCCTTGTAATTTGATTTCAACCACTCCAACACCTAGTCCATGTTATCAAACTTAAATCCTGCCTCCAGTGTTGCCTTGAAAATCCTTTCACTGCCTACATCCCAATTTAATTCATGAAGGGCAAGCACAGATGCACTCCGCTTGAGAGGATTTGATCATATACTCACCCTCCATCCAGTATTGATACCCTTTATTCTACCTCTCTCCCAAGTCCTAGTCTTCCCCTTTGACCTATAAAGTGTTAATTAATAAAAAATTAAGCATTTCGAAGATCCTCACTCACCCTCTTTGTTTCACTCTGCAATAGAGTATTTGCTAGGTACAAACTTATATAGTACCAAAAGTATTGTTAATATTATTTTGCAATTAGAATTGAAGTTTTACCTTAATAATGTCTAATAAATAATTCTATTAAATGTTAACGTATGTTATTAAGATAAAACTTTAGTCCTGATTAAAAAACACCACCAACAATATCTATAGTAATGTATCTAAATTTTTCCCGTATGCAAGCTACAAATGATGCATTAACTCCTTCTCAGCTTAATCCAATCATGGAAAAGACACCCAGAGATATCCAGGAGTCTCTAGCAACAGTATGCAGCACAAGTTACCAAAAGGTAGATGTGACCAATGGAATGCAGTAAAAGATGAGGGTAGAACAATGCATGAATATATCCTATGTACAAACTTCCTTCACTTTATTACCATCCGGAGATTAAAAACAGACATTGGCGGTCAATGTTATTTAGCATGAAGGTGTACACCAAACAACTGTAACATCCTCAAGCCATGCTCTACATTGTATGATGAGGCAATCCACTGGTTTAGTTTCTTTTGCTAAGATGGTACCACCGAACTCAAATTCCTAAACACTAGACAACACAACATAAACTGTAGGTACTTACAAGGTGTAAGGTTACAAATTTACAAGCAGTCAAGATACATGTAGTTTCTGCGTCGATTGAGCTGCAGGAGGCTTCCATAGGTGCGATCCCAAACACCAATGAAAAGTGATTCTGTGTCAGGGCTAAAGGATACACCAGAGATCTCCCCAAAAAAATCGATCTCTTGCTCCTTCTCAAACCCATGCTTTGCATCATAGACATGCACAAAGTCAGCTGGCTCAGCCATTGCCATGAATTGCCCATCAGATGTGAAACGTATTGAACGGATAGCTCCAAGGTTGCCTTTAAGAACTGCAACAGATTTTGATAAGTTCCTCACGTCCCAAACACGACATGTTTTGTCTTGGTTCCCAGTAGCAAATATGTGGCCATCAGGATGCCATGCAGATGCAAACGAGTAATCCAAGTGTCCATGTAAAGTTGTGATGGTCTACAAAGAGAACCAAAATCAAAATTAGATATTCAGTTATTCACAACTTTTCCAGGCTTGGCACATCCATCCTCATTCCACTCAACAAAGTCCTTTGAGAAATATACACCCAGGAATCTATAAACATGACAAACAGAACATGCTAACCTTTCCCGTTTGAGAATCCACCAGTATCCCTTCTGGGTTGTCTCCAACAATAACGAGTTGTTTCCCATCGGGGCTCAATGAGGTATGCTGCAGTCAGAGAGAACAAATTCATATTGCCATTTATGCTATTTACAATAGGCATTGATATCATCTTTTCCTACACTAGCAGCAGGCGTCCACAATGCACATTCAACAAGACAAATAAGGATATATATTTAGAAACTGATAGAGACTAGAATTATATTGAAATTAAGCTAAAGTTCAACCAGAAACTATCATTTACATAGGAAAAAAAATTCAGCCAGTAACATAGAATATGGGCAGAATAGATAAAAATCTCAATTCACAGACTCTGCCCTTCCTGGCTTTAGCCACCAAACCACTAAGCAAAGGTGCATTATGGTACTATTTTGTATTAGTGAGGAGTTTCTAAGATATAGATGTGAGTGTGGGGATTCTTCTTTAGTGAGTAGATATATATTTTTTAGGTTGCCCATCCAGAAATTGGTGCTTCTTAGTTTTAACATCAAGTTTTTAAACATAACTACACCCACTCCAGTCTCAATTAAAAAGAAGAAAAGAATATTCAACATTCAAGTAAATACATGATAAATTTATTTTATAAGCAACCTGTACAAATTCAGGCTAAAAGATGGTCAAATGGTAAGAATTTTTTTTCCCAAGAAACACTTGGCCGGGCAGTTAAAATAAGTACACTGTCAAAATCATCAAAAACGAAAAAAAAAAAAACAAAAAGTAGAGTCAAATCAGAACACTAAAAAAGGTTTCAAAAACTGAATTTCTTCTTCAACGAAACTAAATATCAAGGAACAGGAAAATGATATTTCTGCTTCACAAATAAAATTGTCAAAGCTACTTGTTTCAGGGGAAAAACTATTAAAGCTTACAATTCCTAAAAGTTCAACAGAGCCCAACAACTATAATGCCACAGTTGAAATGATAGGCCAGAAGTTTACAGAGCAACAAAAACGGAAAAGAAAAGAGGGATAATGTATCAACCCAGACATAACTCAAATCAAATAATAGAGCATCTGTTCTTTATAAAACATAATTCCGTTTTTACCCTTCTATCCCTCTTCCCATTTTGTATCCTAAAATAGCGCAAACTAGCAAAGTCATGCCAATTCTAACAACAACAACCAAGACTCTTTTTCAACAAAGTCATGCAAATTATAAATTTGTCAAAAATCCTGGCCTAGGTAAAGCAATAATGCCATATCTATTATTTAAAAAATCAAAACATAGAAAATTAAGTGGAAGTACTTACATTTACTGGCCAAGGAAAGCAGAAATGCTTTGAAAGCTGAAATGTCTCCATATCAAAGTCTCTAATTCCACTGTCATTGTTTGAAGCCATGAAATGAACAGCTCCACTGATAGATTAATCAATCATTAGTAAGCAGCCCTATGTGACAACAGTTTAAAACCCAAAAAAAAAAAAAAAGGAAAAGGATAACAAAAAAGCAGATAAGAAAGACCTTGGGTGCTCATAAATCTCCACAGCATTTGTGATTGCATTGTCCTCATATGTAGTTCGAGTACAAAAACTAATCCCAGGCCGGTCTAAGTACTGCAGAACATTGCATGTGTGGTCAAGCAACATGAACGTTGAATATATTGACAAGTACATCAATTTACAAGATCAAGGGAGGGGGGAATTGAGGATGACTTTAGATTACTCCCATTTTGTTAAACAGTAATGTTTCAACTAATCATATAAAGAAATATAATTGGCCCCATCCCAAAAACAATGTTAACACATATACTGTATAGAGTATTTTAACATACACTAATCTATGCAATAAAAGCAAAATATATATATATATATGGTGCATGACATTCTCAGAGGCCATGTTTTACATAGAAAACTAGAAGAGTTGTAGGTTTAGCACATTCAATGATGAAAAAAAATAAGTATAAAATACTGCTGACTTTTAGATATGAAAAAATACCTTGCAAATAAGTTCTCCTTGAAACCCTCCAGCAATCAACAAGTTATCCCGTACAGCTAGTGTACTAATTTGTGTATGAGTAAAACCTTCCAAGAGGCTTCCAGGATGTTTCTATAAGCAAAACACATTTGAAATCTCAGATGATCTTTTCTAAGTGATTCTTTCATCAGCAAAACCATGAAAAATGCTTACCTCACATGGAGCTACATGGCCTGATACATTCAAGACTTCAGATCTCTTAGAATTTAATGAAGACCAGTGAACAATTGAGTAATGTGAAACAAGATATACGTCATGTTTTGATGTCGACCAAACCAAATTCCTCAACTGCAAATGAAAAATTAGAAGCTCCGCATAAATGTTGCTAAAATTATTGGCAACAACTGCTGAATCTACAACTCCAGAAGGAAATAGAAAAACACACACACACACACACACACACATATATATATATACACACACACACATCCACACACACACACACATATATATATATACACACACACACATCCACACACACACACACATATATATATATACACACACACACATCCACACACACACACACATATATATATATACACACACACACATCCACACACACACACACATATATATATATACACACACACACATCCACACACACACACACACACACACATATATATATATCTCATAAAGCAAAACAGAGTGTCAGTTTATCACACAGGTGTACATGGAGGCACATGTCCTTCCACAAGATACAAGATAACATGGAGAGGAGACCAAACAATTTTATCACATCAATACATGAAAGAATTACTAAATCAACATACTTGAAAATGAAGTATTGTTGACTTCACAGATCTAGTGTTTTGCCAGAAATCATAATACTTTCCCCCTTTATCTGTTGCTTTGCATTCCTGAAGACAAGAGAAGAAAAAAGTAGAGTCAAACAGTATTTTCAAAAATCAAAATAAGTACTCAAATGCCTCCACTCTAAGCAAAACCTACTTACCTTCTCTGACATTTCCCCTGATTGCGGAATATTTTCATAATTCTTGTATTGCTCTAATCTAGTTTGTCTATATTTCTCACGACTAATGCTCAACCTATCCCAAGGTATACCTTGGATATCCTTCCCCTTCCTAGCTTCAGCAGCAGTGGTATCTGTTATTCGATTTTCCTGCAACACAGAACCCAAAGCCCCCATCCCAAGAAAAGTGCAAGAAAATGGAAATATTATGGCAATGGTCACATTGTAGTAAATATTAATCATGTACACTAAAGTTGACCAATAAAACCAAAATGCAGCAACTACATATGAGATAATAGTATATACACACACACATAACATTGAATAAGGGCTTCACAGTGAAAAAGAGCAAACAAGGTTCGCTTATGAGTTGAAACAGACCAAAGGATCATATTCGTAATCTTCCTCATCATCCGAATCTGATTCACCAAATGCTCTGCCACGGAAATAGATATCATCATCTTCTACATCTGCCATTTCATTGTTGTCTGCAGCGTAGTCCATATCATCACCATGGTATTGAGACATTTTTCCTGATGCCAATCAGATTTTGATACTTGATACCTAGTTCATAAAGGAAGTGGGCTAAAAAACAAGTTAAAAGAAATCACTACGTGAAAGAAAATAAACATCAAATTTTATGACCTAGACACCGCTGATACTAAGTTTAAATTTTATAAAGAATAACAAAAATCCAAACACACCAAATTATTTATTTACTAGAAACTAGAGATTCTATTGTTTCAACTAAGAGATATTTAGCAGCAAGAACTTTAAAGAAACCCTAATACTAAATACTTATTTTTTAAAATTCCCCATCTAAACCTAAACCGACAAGCTAAACGAAAACAAACGGAGCTTGAGGGGAACATAACATTAATTTGGGGAAATTTCAATTACCCCATGAAAAGAATTGGAAAATCTACATACATAACAGAAGGGGGAAAATATCTTTTTCCTTCACTAGATTCAGAAATCAAAACAATGGTTTCACATGGTCTCAGAAAAAATAAATCGTAAACCAAAAACAATAAATTAAAGCGTGGCTAACAGGAGACGAACTAGCAGCAAATATATACAAACAGAATTAACAAAAAAAAAAATACAAATTTTAAGGGAAACAAGGGAAATTGAATTAGGAAAATTAAAAGGGGTGAAGCAATTTCAATTCATTGCATGAATGATAAAAAGGGGTTATTGGGTTCAAAAAAATCCAACCTTTTTTTATTTATTTTTCTGGGTTTGTGAATCCAAGGGAAAAACAAGTCCTTGTGGTTGAGAAGTTGTTGGATCTTGATGATAAGGACCTGAATCTGATCTTCGTATAAAAATGAAGCAGCTTTGCAAAAATATATAGATAATAATTTCGCCTTTGAGTCTGTGATTGATAAAATCAGATACAGATTAGTGTGTAAGATTTTCTTTTTCTTTTCTTATATATTAAGAGTAAAATAATGATAAATCGGTGCTATTGTTATCAAGGAGTTGGCATGAACATGGATAACAGAGCCTGCGATTTCCAATAATATTTTTTCACCAAAATTTATGAGAAAGAATATATGAGTTTAAATAAAATAAATAATGAAAAAAAATTATGTTAAAAGTGATTGAATAATTTTGAGTACTTGTTAGTATTGTAACATGGATTGAATATTTATTAAATATAATTAAGATGTATAATAAATATTATGTTTGAATATATAAATTATATTTAAAACTTATATTAACAGGTATTTTTAATATATAAATTATATTTAAATTTTATAATAAATAATTTATATTGTAGTATAATATTTATTTATCTATTTGGTAATTTATTTTAAATATATTAAAATTAAATAATAAATAATTATACTAAATAAAAACATAATTAAATGAGAGATTAAAAATTTTCTAAAAAAACTTTCGTTTAAAATAAGGATTCGTGATTAATATATAAGAGTTCATTTAAATATTTAAAAAATAAATTTATAAGAAAATAGAGAAAAATAAAAATTAAAACTAAATAAAAAAGAAATAGTATTTTAAAAAATAAGGAACAAGATAGTCAATAAAATGTATATACCAAAAAGATGTATAATCTTTATTATTACTGAGTTAAAATATTTTTTTAATTCATATAATTTCATTGTCTTTATCTTTTATCATTTTTTTTTGTTTGGTGAATAAGAGAGCTAAAAGTTTAAATTATAATCTTTTAATAAAATAAGCAAATTTATCTATAAGTAATATAACTTAAATAGAATAAAAAATCTTCAACTCTTCCTATAAGCAATTTAAACTTAGTTAAAGACTTTGCAACACGGTTAACTTCATGAACAATATGATTACAAGATGATATATGTTCTTACTAGATCAATCCTGCTATTTCTTGGACAATATTAAAACAAGGATGTGATCTAAGACAACCTTCATTAATGAGTTTCATAGATAAAGACGAGTCAAATTCAATTAAAATCCTTTTGTCAAGCCTTTTATCTTGAACTATTTGTAAACCATGAAGAATGGCCTGAAGTTCTATTTGAATAATTAAACAATGTCTCAAGTGACAAGTGTAACCAACTATAAATCTTCCCTAATTTATTACAAATCACTCCACCACAAGAGGCTTCACTCCCTCTAATGACTATCCCGTCATAATTAAGCTTTAGATGGCCCATAAGAGGACACTTCCACTAGAATGATGATCTAGAGATCAATTGGTCAAACCTTAGATTAAACCTCTTGACCCTCCAAAACAAAATCATCCATAATAACAATCACTCTTACAATTATTTTTGCCACTAATTAATCTAATGAAACTTGCAAATTCTGAAATATAAACTTGTTATGTCTATGCCAAATAGAATAAAGGGTAATGGCAAAACGAACACTCTACTTCATCAGCTGGGAACCCACATTAACCAAATTCTTATGTAGCCATACACACAAGGCTTCACTAAAAAATTGCACTTCAACATGGTTTCCAAAAACCTTCTTCCAAACTTCTACAGCAAAAGAGGAGTCCCACGAAACATGTATAGTATTATCCTCCCCTTGCATGCATATACCACACATAGAGATTCTTGTCAAATCATGCTTGGTACAACAAACATTTGTCAACAAACTTTCATGGGTTATCCTCCAAAGGAAAACATGTATTCACTCAGGCCTCTTCCATCTCCATATAATTCTAAATATCATATCTAAAGCCATAATACAGGGCAACATATTTCATAAGTAGATTTTAATGTGAAAAACCATCATTGGCTTTCCCCTAGCTTATCTTATCAATCATGGTTATTGTATTGGGAGGAGTGAGTCTTTTAATGGACAACCAAACTTCTAATGGAATATAGCTCTGAATGTAATCTATAACACATTCTCCTTGTGCATTCACATAATCCTTCACCTTCTTGGATAATTCAATTAGCGAAACATAAGTAGAAGTTAAGAGAATTAGTTTCTATGAATTTGGAACCCAACTATTGAAACAAAAATTAATCATGACTCCATTATCCATTATCCATTTAATATGAAGTTTAACAAGCTTCCAGACCTCACACATGCCTCTCCAAAAGTTAAACATTTTTTGTTTTTTTCTCTATGCATGGCAGGATTGCATTAGAGCAACCATATTTAGATTTTATAATCCTGACCCACAATTTATCTAAATCAGAAACTAGACTCCAATAATTTTTCATCATAAAGCTATTATTCACATCCTTCATTCTATGAAAACCAAGACCCCTTAAATCCTTAGTCTGACAAACAATAGGTCATCCCACTGCATGAATGTTCTTGTGCTCTTCATTATCACCCCAAAGGAAATCCATACAAATCATGTCCACCTCATCACAGAGAAGTCGTGGTAGATGAACCATTTGCATTGTGTAAGATGGTAATACAGCAAGAACCAACTTAGTTAAGGTTAGTCTCCCAATTAATGATAGATTTTGAGTTTTCCAATTGTTAAGTCTTTGGTTTACTTTCACAATAATCTCTTGATAAGTAGCTCTATTAACCCTTGAGTGATGTAAAGGTACACCTAAGAGCACCTCCAATGGGGGGTGCTTACTGTGTTGCTTAAGAATAAGCAACGGTGCTTACAAAAAACTCCAATTGGAGTGATCATACGTGGCAACCCAGTTTCTTAAATTTTTTTCAAAGTTGCTTGTACAAGGAACAATGCTTAGCACAAAGAAATTTGAAAAAGAGAAGTTTGATTGGTTGATTTGAATCCAGGTGGAATATGCACAGCAGTTTTGAAAATCAAAAAAATAGATAAAACTTCCTTCACTTCTTCTTCCTCCACCCGGGGAGGATTGTCGACGTTGGCCGCTGGTCGTCGGTCGCCGGTTGCGCGCCTCCGGCCACACTTAGCCACTTAGCCATGCGGACCTCCGATCAGACTCCCAAATCGTGCGTGCGACTCCACCGTCTAGACCACCTCCGTCGCGCGCACAACCCCGTCTGACCAGACCCCTCCTACGCTGAACTGCCCGACCAGACCCTCCACCCCGCACGCGGCTCTGAACGACCAGACCCCTCTGCACGTCCAGAACCCCCCACCCGCGCGCAACTCCCTCCGCACGACCGACCCTCCGGCCCGCGCACGACCCCCTCAGCACGACTAGAACCCCCGCCCATGCGCGACGCCCTTCGAATGCAACCACTCCCCGCGCGCACGGCTCCGACAGACCTCCTGAGCACGCGCGCCCCTCCGCACCCAGACCTCCTACGCGACACAAAGCCCCACGGTCAAGAGAGAGTGAAGAGAAAGAAAAATGTGAAGAGAAAGAGAGAGTGAAGGGGGAGTGAAATGAAAGAAAAAGTGAAGTGACAAATGTGATAGACGTTGAGAGACGTGAATGAAAAAAAAAAGAGACATTGAGAGACGTGAATGCTATTGCTCTAGTAATTCAATATTTTTGTACATGCTCAAAAGGATCTCAAACATATCTTTATTAATTCTTTGTAGAATCACTAGCAATCGATTCTTTGGTTATACTTGACTTTTATGAGTTTTAACTCATTGGATTTCTTTTTATTATTGTAATTTTTGGTATTTTTTAATTATGTAATATTTTTTTTATTATTGAAATTTTTTATTATTATAATTTTTGTTTTGTTAGTTATTCATATTTATATATTATTCATAATAATTAATTTTATAAATATTTATCATAAAGTATAGTGTGAGGTGTCAAAAAGTGTAGTATGAGTTGTAAAAAAGTAGGGGTGCTTATAAGTAATTTCCATTGGAGCAAAAATTGTAAAAATATAGTATGAGTTGTTTATGAATGACGTGGCACAATGGGACTCATTTAAAGTGGTTAGGAGTTGCTTATAAGCAACTCCCATTGTAGATACTCTAAGTACTTACCAAGATTCTCAACTCATTAGAAGCCAAAAGTTGAGTTGTTATATGTTCTCATGTTTTAAGCCACATTTTTTGAAAAGAAAATTTTTGTCTTCTCATGATTGATCTTCTAACTTGAACTATTACAAAATAAATCCAAACAAGATTAAATAACTTCAACCTACTCCAAGTTTGCTTCTGCGAAGAGAACCAAATCAACTACAAATGCCACATGAGATAAAGGGGGACCTCCTCTTGAAAGACAAATCAGTTTCCATAGGCGATGAGAACTAGCAATATTAATAGTGAAATAAACGTTCCATGCACAGAATAAATAAATATGGAGAAATCATATCACCTTGCCTGATCCCTCATGTTGGAAAAAACTCTTCTAGTACCTCCCCGTTCTAGAGCATGCACATTTTGGGAGTGGAAATACAAGCTCATACGAGCTCAATGAAGTTGTGGGGGATGCCAATATTCACTAGCATATCTTTGATAAAATTACAATTTAATATAGCATAAATTTTTCTAGGATCTTTTTTGATCACCATTCACCTTGTTTTACTAGATTTGTATCTCATTGAATGGATGACTTCTTGTGCAATAATGATATTATCTTTATCACTCCTATGCAGGACAAAATTACTTTGGTTAGGGTAAACCAATTTTTTTTCCATAAAATTACTAAGATGTTGGGCTAGAATTCTTGTAAGGACCTTGAAGGATACATTACACAACCCAATTGATCACATATGTCTCAATTGAGTGACATTGTCTATATTCGAGATCAAAGTAATGAAGGTTTCATTTATATCAACAACACTATCCAAATGAGCTTCAATATCTTGAATAAGGTTACAAAGAGTAAGCCTAACAATATTCCATTGAGTTTGATATCATACTTCTTAAAGGTCATCTGGGCCTGGTGTCTTAAAACCACCTATATGCTTAATAGATTTGTGAATCTCCTTATTGTTAATAGATCTTCCTTATTCCTCTAACTCAATTCCCAACAATTGAGGAAAATAATTAGATAAACAGAAGTCTAAAGAGACCCCAAGGTCATGAAACAAATTTTTGTGAAAATCAATAACCATACCTTCTAATT